GCCGACGACGGCTAATAAGTCAGAAATGGCCATCACAGTCTCCCTTATCTTTGTCGGGACTCCTTTCACTGCGAAGAGGTATTGTGGTGTGTTATTTTTATGGCCGCGCAGTTTCCACACAAGTGAAATTCACTTTGGCTTTCTTACAGGGACAGCGTGTAGATGGTCCTGAAGTCAGCGTTCGAACTTTTCATCCGCCTATTCGGGGTTGTGGGGGCAGCTGAAAGAGTATCAACTATAACTGAGTCTGGGACCCGTGTTTAAAGGTCAACTTATGAAATCAGTGCTCTCCAGAGAGTTTTTTTCAACAGACAGTCGCTCGCAGTTTTACAAAACTCATGACCGGAGTCGGACATGGGAATAAGAACCCGCCACCCTATCACAGGTGACCCTGGGCTAGATTCCAGGGGGTTGCCGGTCAGATGTGGATATGTAGCCCCACATGAAGTAAACAAACCCCAGCCACCTGTAATACGCGACCGGTGGTAATAGGGATTTTTACAGGTGGGGTCGGGGAACGCACAGGCGACGAGGTCAAGTAATTGGGTGCAAAAAAAGCTATTCGGAGTGCGTGGTTGTACTTTCAATGATTGAGAAATAGTTTCGCTAACCCCAAACCCTAACCCTTAACTATAATCCCTAATCCTGAACCCCAACCCCTAATCCTAACCTTTAGCCCTCACCCCTAACCATAACCCTTAACCCAGACCACAACAGTATTGTGTCCATCAGGTGGGGGCTACCAAGCCACATCTTACCTCCTCCCGTCGCTTCGCGTGTGTCCATTTGAGGTTTGACTCGAAATTTGAAGTTTTTCTCGGTGTCACGCTATCTGGATGGGTTGTGCCACCGCATGTCTTGACTACATCCAAATAAGACCAGCGTCGTTATTCGGCCCATTTGTCACCCGTCAGATCTCCCCCCCCTCCCCACTAATCTGAAGTGAAGCCATGCAGAAACGGGGTCACACAGATCTCCCTGAGGCTACCGGCTGGTAGGAGGGGGAACAGTGACCAGGCGAGCACCCACCAGGACTCCGAGCGACAGTTGGCCGCCCAAAGGCCAGCCCAAACTGGAAGATACCCAAGGTCGTTGTAGCACGCGTGTGACTTTAGCGCAAAGGTGATCGACCCAGTGACCGGCGTCGGCAGGTCGACAGCGCGGTGACTCAAGTCGTGCTAACTGGGTGGGCAAACGAATCGGGTCACGCAGGCGAGACGATCGAGGATTCCCGCCTAATTGGTCGAACGCACATAACTGTACCGGTGCTCCAGTTGACAGAGGCTTCGAGATTTCGCCGCGCCTCTCTCATGACTGGAATTTCCAAGAAGCCTCACGAACGGACAAGTATCCTTTGCAGAAAAGTGAACACCGAGAAAGACAAAGGAGACTGAGATGGGCAGTGCTGGATTATTCACCGTTGTCATCCGGCCGCACACCTTCCTTAATTATCCTCGTTTCTTACGGTTAATCACCTTTCGGATAAGACCGTTTTTCAAACAGAAATGCGACAGTGGAAGAACACAGTTTTCCAAGCCAGTAATCACTGGTATAATGCTTGCGGAGTGTTTTGTCTAGTTTATTCATCAAAATATCTGGCATGGACAATGTCGGGGGTCGTCGAAGAAGGTAAAACCGACATGCCTCGTTCGAGTGGGGAAATGTAAGGCTGCAATGACTCACAAGTGCGTCGTACAGGGACGTAAATCCAAAGACAAAAACTTCGCACAGAAGAAAAGATAAGATCTACATCGAGTGGGCAAATCTGAGGAGAAGGGTCGCGGTACCTTGCCTCTGGCAGTGCAAGAGGAGAGAGGAAGTGCATATGTAATGTTACTATGGTAGGGGGCACTCACCGACCGCTCTTACGGGACTCACTCGTTCCGCTATCCCTTACGGGCTCTCACTCGAGTCCAACCAGCAGCCGCACAGCGGCGCATGATATAGGCAGTATGTTATTGCTGACAAAGACAAGGGGGACTGGAATGGCCATTTCTGGCTTATTAACCGTCGTCAGCCAGTCATACCCAACCCCGAAGTGTAATGTTACTCGTTTCAAAGTGATCTCCGATGCATCCTGGAAATCGGTCGTCTTGCCTAGCGATGAAGCCGGACAAAGATCCTTCGCGTATACACGACAAGACTGTATTTTATGGCAGCGGTCTCAAACATGCAATGACACAAAGACTGGGGTCGAAACCATGTCGGGAGAGGGGGAGAAGCCTCGACATTCGGTAATAGAAAGGAGGAGCTTTTTAATTTAAGCCCCAGTTTATACTGCCCGTACATTTTTAGCCAGTACCCGAAATTTATGAATCTAGTTGTACATAGACAAACTAGCCGATCAGGGTATTTCCAGGAAAAAAATTACTGAATATAGGGAGAGTCAGTCGGCCAGAAAACATGCGGTGTCGGAGAAACCAACCCGCGGACGTCCCAATTTCACGCGGGGCACTCCACCGTTGAACTGTGTACGACACAATCATTGGCCCTGCAAACGCATCAGAAACGGCACTCAGGTTGCGGCCAAGTTGGGACTGCGAAGATGAGATAAATAAATATCGATTATTCACACAGTTCGAGTTCGCATCGCCCGTACCCCACACTATGGACTTCGCCCGGCGACCCACAGTTTCCAGCTGTGCAGCTTACTTATTTTTCATAATCCGCCATCAGGAATTTTTAAATTTCACATTCTTAGACGGGGAGCTATTCTATCATTTCTTTGAGGTCTATGAAGACAAGTAAGTAGCAATTATATCTTGTTGAGGTAAAGTGTGGTAATCAAATTCCCATAGACGGAGCGCTTTCGTCCTGGCATGGAGTACCGATCCCTCGTATTTGCGTCGAGTTCGCCTCCATGTGAGCTACCGAGGCGCTGCCGACGCCTGTGCGAAGCCCAGTATTCCTTCGTCTCTGACTCGCTTTATCCGCGCCACAGATTTAACTATAGCTTCGTACGCTACGGCTAATTTGCCGCAGTCGTGATGCCCACGTGCACGTCCTGAGTCTATCTATCGACCGGCCACGTCCTGCCGATGATCGATGTGGCTGGCACTTCAATGCGATGAATTGCTGTCCTTTCGACCGTTGATGACATCCGTCGTGGTCATGTCTGGTGTCCTCGTTCAAGGTCCCGTTGCGTCAAGGTCATTCACCTTCGCAGCGGGCGGTTCCAGGCGCGCTGACCTGGAACTACTCGACCGACTTCAACTCGGACACACGTGCGTCTCACGAGTCGCAGCTCTCCATGCGCCATTTGAACACGCCACTCCCCCTGCGAACGCAACGTGGTTAGGGGTTAGGGTCACGGTTAGGGGGTTAGTGTTAAACCTTCTATTACCACCGGCTCGAATGACAGGCGGCTGGGGCCTGTCTACTGCAGTTGCGGCTACGAAATAAGATCCGACCAAGTCACCAATCCGCTCGAGATGTTCTCGACTGTGTTTAAACAGAAGAAGTGTGTACACCGCAAAAAGATGGCCCTAGAATATCTAGTTATCGAGACAACCGCATATTTGCACGCCTCACTTAGAGAGTTTAGTGACAACAAACGTGACTGTTGTCAGATGTGTCCGTATCAGAACCTCGGTCGCCAGCTTGACGGGATCGGCCGTTTAAAGGTAGAATTCAGCAGCGGTTCATTCGACTGGCGTTTGTGAGCCAGGAGGGAGCAAACGATGAGATGTCTGTCTTCCTTACATAACTTTCCTTTTTTGCTATTTCAGGTGTCTACTTCGGGCAAACGATATGACAAAGAGCCCGTGGCTAAAAGGCTAGGCGTTGGGCTTCTAACCAGCAGGTCGCGGATTCGTGGCTAAGGAGTTGGATATGGCTGGCGGATGACGGTTAATAAGCCGGAACTGTCGGTAATGGTATTCTACTCAAGAATTTAATATTTTCTGACAATTTGAGTTCGAACCCCACGGAAGCTGCCGAATTTTTCACGGTTGGGGCTGCGAAGCTGCCAAAAAGCACCAATTAATTTCCCTAATAAGCTAAGCGGCATATCGAAAGTAGAGAATTATCCGATCTATGTGAGGATGGGTCAGGTGTGGTTATGTAGCCCCAGATGACGTAAACAAACCCCAGCCACCTGTAATACGGGACCGGTGGTAATAGGACTTTTTACAGGTGGGGCCGGCGAACGCACAGGCGACGAGGTCAAGTAGTTGTATACAAAATAAACGCTATTAGGAATGCGCGGCTGTACTTTGAGTGGTTGAGGAATGGTTGCCCTGACCCCTAACCATAACCCCTAACTCTAGCCCCCAACCCTAACCCCAAACCCTTACCGCGGCTCCAACAGCATTATTTCCATCGGGTGGGGCTACATAACCACATCTCACATGAGGATGTCTACGTTCCGTGAAGCTGGTGGCGAATCCCTCGTAAAATAGCAGACGAGGGGATGTGAGTTGACGTCTGAAGATCGGAGTAGTGAGGTTGCTTAACCAAATTCAGAAACTACGATACTTTTCGTCAAGCAAGTTGCGAGGTGTGTTGAGGACAGCCTGGTCTCTGAACCTGATCAATCGATCTCACTACTCGGAGCGTCAGACACCAAGCAGGTCTCTACCGACAAAAGTTCCTTCTTCCGGTTTAACTTGCTTAGTTAGCAGACTCCACAATGGACTTGTGCGGTTAGCTGGGCTTCAAACAGTGTTGAGGATTAGGCCGAAACGTGTAAACGTCACCCTCGAGGTATACCCAGTGCCCCCTGCTATCGAACCGAAACCACAAACTAAGATGCCATCATTCACGTTTTGAGGGGGGAAGACAGGGATAATAGAGAGGTGGGAGAGGGCGAGTTAACCCCAGACCTCCGCTCAGTAAACATTGTTATTTGATGGCGGTAGAGAGGTGTGAACCTGGACGTCACACCCTGGGGGATCATGTGACGCCAAAATAAATTCCTCCCCTCATAACCTAGTGACGAACACGCTCGGCCATACGTCGGCTTCTCACCTAAAGGAACCTTACGGTCCCGATTTCACTAGATGATCGACTTCATCAGAGCCTACAACGAGTCCTGGGCTGCCGGGTTTTATGCAAAGGGCGGCTATGAAGCATTTTACGAAGGTGAAAGCAAGTTGTTCGGCTCCGAAGGTCAATGATGTGTATATTCGCAGGAGGCAATCATACCCATTCGACGGAAGCCCCTCCCCACAACGGTCTTTCGATGCGCATACCTCACTGTGAACCTGCACCGAATTCGGCAGTTAACTGAACTCCCGATTAGTCATTTAGCTGATAACCTCATTCAGTTCGTCTTTATGAATTTATTATCCCTTCAGTCCCAATTCTAACTGACCAAACTTACAGAAATTTTCAGTTCCACTTCATTTTTTGTGAGAGAGCATCCTGTGAGATGCGATCGTTGTGACAAGAGCTTTATTTGCCTAACATTTCCAATCCACGCTTGAACCCATCACCATAGACAATACCATATATGTGAGCATCCTTTATCGAGCAGTTAGTTGCTTACATTTTCACCATTTCACCTTAAAGAAAGTCCTATCTGTAAGCGCTGTGTTTTGATGATATAAGCTTTCTTCAAGCCCGAAATATCTCAGGGCGGAAAAGATAGTCGCTACCCCATTTTCGAGCACAAGCTCCCCACCAGTAATCGCCAGAAAATCGATGAAAGCTGTAGTGAAGTCACATAAAGATTCGGTTAGCTCTGGGAAATTTCATTAAACTTGGTTGAGTCACGACGAGGAAGGAGAGAGAAAAAATGTCAAATTAAAAGTCACAATTTCATTAAAATAGACGCACATGCACGCTACTGCGCAAATAGCGAATGCGAAAGGATCTAGGACTGTGGAGGGGAGGAAGAATTAATGCAGTTAAAGTCTTGAAAAGGAAAAAATCACAAATGAGGACAATCGTGCGCTGTTCAGCAACTGTTGCTGACCATTACATTTCAGACCTAGAATAAAACAGCCTTCGAACACTGCCGTGAGAGCCACCGTCGACTCCACAGGTGTTCCTACTGGCAAGGGTGTGATAAGTAAATCCACTGGGAAAACTGGAGTTAACTAACACCCTAACGTCAACCGTTATCATGTATGTCATGGGTAGCTCTAACCCTTAGCTCGTAAGGCTTTAAGGAAAACTCGAACGCAACCGTAACCTTACCTCCAGCCCTTAAAACCCTAGCCCCGACTCCTAAGCCTAAATCCCAACTCTAGCCACAACCCGGAACCCAGGTCACAATCCAAGCCTGGAACGCCTAGTCCAATGAATAACTATAACCGTAACTCTACCCCCACTTCTGAAATAGATACGGAAAACTTTGAGGTCAATAACGCTAATGAAGGTTAAAATTCGCGTATCTCATAGCCCCGTCCGCAACCTATCGCCAGGCGAACCGTTATGAACCACATTGCCGTTTGATGTAACTCAAAGACATATTGCCACCCACTGAAACCTCAGCTATTGTCTATCAAATACGCTGTAACGACGGAGACTGCAACTACACTGGGGACACCGGACGGAAATTGCAGACCCGCCTACACGAACACAAACTGACAACTTGGAGACTAGACCCAAACTCACAGCCTGCGGCTCACATCGGAGAAACTGGCCACAGTTTTGAATTTCAAGGAGCAGCCGTCTTAGGCGGGGGCACCTCAAGGACAGAGCGTCTCATAGTTGAGGCTTGGTGCTCAGATGCCAACTCCATCAACGGGCATCTAGACCTTCCTGCGGCCTGTAGAATCCTACGTCACTACGTACACTATGAGCAGAAAAAGACGGTCACACGGTTAAGAATGCCGGGAAAACACGGCCCGTCGACTAATTCGCCCAACAGGGGGTCACAAACGTAACTAGCCCCAAATGAAGTGGTGACACACAATGCAGGAGGCCACCAATATCCACAAACGATGGTAAGTGGGCCAAGGCAGCGAAAGAGGAGAAAGATCGACCAGTCCAAGGCCAACTAACTCGGCCGTCTATTCGAAATTCTGATTGATTTTTGCACTAAACGCTTTGATAATGGGGAGTCGGCCGAGTTCTCTAAAAAGTCAACAGTACGATTCCCTTGATCTGGTGAGCACTTCACTTTTCTCAACTGAACCACATCTACCTAAATAACATAAGAACGTAGATTTTTGAACAATCTCCCGTAGAGGTGGGGGGAGAGTTACATACCCCACTCTCACCATTCTTACCTATGGGTGAGCGAGTTGGCTTTTCCGGACACTCCACTTCTTGGCCGGAAATAGACTCCTTGATGCGATAAATTTATCTGAACTTGTATATCTAATATCAGACTGAAATAATTCTCTAAATTCTCCGATGTCGACTTGAGCCGTGGTTAAATCTGGAGTACAGAGCACTTGTGCGGCCGATTAGATTATGCGGTTATGTAGTTTTTTGTCCCGTGGCGCTCGCACCCACTTGCGAAGGTCACGTCACCAGCATCGAGACGGACTTCCCGCGAGTCTCCCCCTCCCACATTGTGAATTTGTTTAAGGAACAATTCGAACACACATCTGTTGCAGATCTCGGAGATTCCCCACTGTTTGGTGGCATTATGTCGGTGACATTTTGCTATTAACAGGGACCAAACTCCTAAGTGCGTTAAAGTCACTTTGTACAAGCATACAATTCGCGACGAGACTGTTTAAATAACCTTTGTACCAAATGCGGGTCATAGTCTGCGTAAATTTCGGAATTAGTATGGAGTAAGGTTAGCTTCCAGAACCCCAAACATAATCAGAAAGAGGTTCAGATGGTCAAATTTGCCGTAGAAACCAATCAGAAGAGACAACACTATACTTGCACCTAGTACGACAAAATTCCCTTCCTTACTGCTTACTGGTAGGGCTGGCAATGTACGCTCCTATAAATCAGACTTTAAACATTTCTGCTTTCGTATAGAAAGACTGATTCGATCATGGCCGAGAAACACGACGATCCGCGTCCAATAAGACGGCTGAACGCGCACGCGCAGAGGCCCTTCGCCCCCCGCCTCCGCGCCACACAGTCTAGATGAGTAATCCTCTTCTCCGTTCTGATTGGTAGGTTGTGGATGGTACGCTGTGCGTGTGCATGCGCCGGTCGCCGGAGGAGGCACGCGCTAGTCCGACGGAAGGATGCCTCACTGCATGCACACGCACGCACGCACCCCGCGTGCAACGACGACGACGGGCGTGATGGGCCAGGCGCGAAGGCAGGCGGCCAGTCGTGCCCGTCTAGGTCGCCGCCTGATGTCGACCTCCGCCAGCGGTGGGACGCGCCGTCTGGTCGGCCAGCGCAACCGCCTGACACGGCCTGACGAAGGCCACCGCGCAGACTGTGGTGGCTGGGCAGCCGTTGTGGTCCTTCTGCTGCAGGGCTGTTCCCCGCCGTCTAGACGGTGAAACGGCCGGTCAACCCTGGACGCATGGTGTTTTTTGATCGACAAGGAAGGCAAACCGCCCTCGCCCACGTTACGAGTCTGAATACAAACCTAAGACTGCCTGACATTTCAGAGAATTTGCCGGAGATATCGCTTGCTACTACGATTGCCCACATCCTAGTTACAAGACCACACTCGTTTGACCCGAAGCTGTTAAGTCGAGTTAAAATCCCAGCGAAAAGCCAAAAGGTACCCGGGAGTGTGTACACCTCGGTCCGGATGGTTCCCTTTTTATACCCGTCAAAATGGGTCCTATGTATCCGTCGGAAGATAGATCGGATATGAACCTCTTTGGCATGAGCAGAAAACAACAAACGGAAAAATATAGTATTCGCAGCGGCCGTAGAAAAAGGCAGTATTTGGCAGGATGATGTGGAGAATACGGTTAGGGTAGGGATGCTTAGTGATTGGAGTCCGTCCTCGGAGTGGGGAGTCATCGACGAATTGAGGACCGTCTGCTGTCATTCCGTGATGCGGAAATGTAGAGCTGGGGACAACTTGGAGGAGAGGGGACGGAACACGCGGAATACCACGTGATACCTTTGCGAAAGGCTTTCAACAGGAAGCTTCAGGCGGGGAGGAGGGCAAGGTATTAATAATCAACACAGGCAAAAGTTGTTATTACCCCTATCTCCTGTAGGGGTTCTCGCCCATCGATTCAAACAGTGACTGAAATCAACAGAGAAAGGGCGCTTACTGATCGGATTACGGGGCGTGCTCGTCCCGTTGTGCCTTGGAGCTCAGTGTTGGGCCCTGGCAGACATTCGCATAGCGACCAGAGAGGTGAGACTGAAGTGCTCATGTCCGGTCTATTGGTTGTCATCAGCCGCCCATACCCACTAAATCTCTTCACGTCTCGCTATGCCGAAATCTTCCCAGTCAGGTATTGGATACTGTTTGAGCGATGGCAAAAGGGATATTTACAAATGGTTGCTAGTAGATGTTCCGTATTCAAACACTGTACCGCCGGAAAGCTGTCTGAGCTTAAACTCGTGATTGCTGTTCAGTTGACGCGCCAAAATAACTTTTTACGACTATTTTAATACCTACTGTCTGGTGTAGAATTTTAAGACAAGTTGCACGCGTGTCGCAGGGGAAGAACGAAAATATGAGATAAACAGATTGCTCACTGGGACAGAACAGCCCTAGCCTACTTTTAATAGCATTTTAGTAGCGACATAGCGCTGACTCTTCTTAAGAGATAGCAAGTCAGTAGGCTGCATTGGACAAAATGACTGAGAGCGTGCTGAAAACTACAGTCAGGCTAGTCAGTCGTTGTTTCGCCCATATCTCCTCAGGCACGCTGCATGAATTGGGGAACGAAAAATCGGGCTCAGTGCAAGTGAAGCCCACCTTTGATGAGACAGCATGATTGAGAGCAGGGCATTTCGTGACGACGGATCGGTAATGATAGGCTACACTGACCAGCGCCTAGAAGCCGTGGATTCGTATTCTTCGAAGGGCAAACAACGGCCACTGGCCTAATCGAGATGCTCGCCAAAGCAGTAAGCTTGCGCCTGAACAAATCTTTAAGTCATTTGCAAATAGCTCATCACTATGACGCTACACTTTCGAGTAAAACGATGAATGATGATCATGCTGGATATTCCATGCGTTACGTATTGGTGGAGCGCCTGACCATCGAACAACCAAGCCTATCCCCTGACAGACTTTTCTGTTATCCCTCATTTCATGCCTAATTCATATCCGTTTTTTTGTTTCTCCACTCCTGGGCACAAATTTCAGTTATAAAAACTTAATTATATTTTGCAAGCATATACATCAGCACACGATCCACCGTCCACCGACAGCTATTTGGGGTCCTTCATCCTACCGCTGCCGAGTTTTCCAGCGCAAATTAAGTTGAAAGGTAAGAAGATGGACTGAGGAGATTCCCGAGCGGTAGTTAGCGGAAGGAAGAGTTGCATGAAAATGCGACTTGATGGAGGTTATTCCGGAACCCGATGACAAATAAGTGCAGGTCTAGAGTGTCATCCCACTCCGCTTCTTTCTGTCTTCAGACTGGGGAACTCATTCTCTCCAGGCACTATTGTACGCAACTTACCGTGACCAGTCATGTAGCTAAGGATGATATCTGTGCGAAATTCCTAAAGGATCGCTTTCGATACCTCTCATTGTGATCAGCGGCAAGTGATACACTGCTAACTAGATAACAATCAAGTCAGTGCGTTTTGGGTTTCTCTTACCTCCTATTTTAAATATGGTATGTGGCGTATCTCATGAAGTATTGGCCGAAATCCTGAAATGCGTTTTCAATTAGAAGAGATTACTTAGGTGGGTTATAGTACTGATTATCGTGCCGCAGGGTCCTGACACATTTCATTTACGTCAGGATGCCGGTTTTCAAATGCGATTCTTTCCAACCGCCTGGAAGCACCACAATCACAAAATGACCACTTGTGTAGTATGAAATATTTCTCTTGATTTTCGATTTTCTCACAAATTCCAAAATATTTGTGGAAAGCACACACGCAAATATCCTTCATTGTACTCATTCAGTAGTAAAAGATATCTCTTTAAATTCTTCACTCAAAGAAAGGATAGCTTTCGATCTAAGGGGATTTGGAATTAGGAGGTTGTTTAAGGCCGTGAAATGCCCATCCAGATGGTTTTGGATCTGCTGCTTACTAATGCGTCTTACAATGTGATCCATATGTATTGCAAAATGTTATGAGTCCATACATACATACTACACATACTGTACATACTGCATTTTGGTAACCCTAAACACAGATGTTAGAGATCTGGTTTGAAATTAATCGTAAATAAGACAATTTTTCAACAACTTTAAAATACCCTTTCCTCCAGTATAAAATTTGCCGGAGACGTAACCAGCCGCACGAGGAGGATATTTTCGTGCCTATTTTTCCATAAAATATGCTCGAATTTGTAAGGACAACGATAAATCAACGGAGGAAATTAATAATCAATAGTCATTTTTTCGCGAATGTGATTCTTGTGGACGATCGGGAAGAAGCACATTCACAAGCCGGCATCCTGGCGTGACTGAAACTCCCCCGGAATTGCCCTGAACGATAATTGGTATTACAACCTCACCTAAGTAATCACTTATACTCGAAAAAAAAAAACATTTCAGAATTTCGAGTAAAATTTCATGAGATGCACCACCAACTCATCTCACCCAGTATCTCATCCTTCCGGTATTCCAGCGCTGCTTTCTCGTCTAATCTCTCTTGCTCTCCTTTTTGCATAGTTAACCACATGCTGTATCGGTTTTTTTTATCCAGGTGACGCCAACACTGGCTGGCACGTTTCAACGCGCATGTGGCTTGCTGGTACGATTTTATCGAGGACAGGCCACATCATGCGCTACTGGCAACCCGACGCCCACGTTCTGTCTGATGCACATTTCGCCGTACTCTCCCTGCGGACGGATGTGTATCGAAATTTCCCAAAGTCACTTCCCTGCCGGTTTTCTTGAAGGCTTTTTCTGGAGTTGAAAGAGGAAGTGGAAAGACCAGATTTTCACAACTGCTGGCTTCCGATGTACCGATTGTTTGTGTTCGTTTCAGTTCAGACTAGCTCTGAGTTTTAAGAGTACAGGATTCACTTCGAAACCTGGAGTTACATCAGAGAGACCTAGTGGGAAAGACGCTGGGGCCTGACATATAAGTCGGACTTCAGGCAGAAATTACGCTTTTCCGAGGTAGGAATGGCCGACAACCCGAGGTATCGCTGGCTTAAAGTCAGGAAAACTTTTGGTGAGACCAGACAGAGTGTGTAGAGGCGGACCTAGTAGGCAGTCGCGGCAGTTGTTCTTATCAGACGTGCCCAACCGGTTGGGCTCGGCGCGAAGTTTGTACCTGCGACTACTCGATGAGGACAAAGATATTGATCGGCGTCAGGGTGTGGGCAATCTGAAGACTGAGTCAGAAGCGCTCGCGCGTGCGCGCAGGCGGTGATTGATAGACGCGTTAGAGACAGACGGCAGGCCACATGGGCAAGCGGCCGCTCCGACGTCTACGAGAGCGGACCGCCACAGCCTTACAGACCCGACTACGGGAACTGCCATGCTACTGACGTGTTGCCTTGGAACGCCAGCCTAGAGTTCTCTCAGGTGGTCATACAGTGATAATCCGTCGATGACCTTGAACCACCGCGGACATTGAGGGGCAGGCTAGAATGCCCGTGCACTTTGGTCCTGCAGCAAGGTCCGTAGGGCGCCGCATGCCAATGACCTTGAATGTTTCCGGTCGCAACGAACAGGACGTGCCCATTGGCTTCAGGAACAGAGTGCTTGTTTTAAATGTTCGACGACCAAGTAGACATGTGAACAGCTGTCTATATAATACTGACGTTTTTTTCTAACTGTGTCCAAGACTGTAAGTACTTGGGTCATTATGAATAATAATGAGAGCACGTTTACTGAATGACCGAAAGACATAAGTTTGAAAGGCCTAAACGGCCATAAACCAGGAAGGTAGTGGTAACAGGCACACTGATGCTCTCTTGGGAAGAACGCTGTATGAGACATGCGGAGTATATGTGATTATGTGGCCCCAAAAGGAGACACACGAGAGATGCGCTGGACCAACACTGGGCCACATCGGACCCCAGCAGGCGTTATCAAAATGCACACTAAAACAAGTGTCAAAATCTCGGGAGGTGCGATGACAGACCCAGTTACTGGCTGACGCCGTGCACATTGGGACCCTGCCGCTCCCCCCCCCCTTTGTTGTTTTTCAAAGTGCTCGTCATTTGCTGTGTGGACCAGGGGATGTGGAGCGGAGCGCCAAGGTGCGGGCTCGGTCGTGCCATCCGCTTGCGCCCTCCCCCGCCTCCGGTCTTTTTGACTCTGTCTTGACACGGGGTCCAGGTGGGGGAGGAGGGAGAGGAGAGAGTGCGGTAGATGCCGCGCAAGCCTACTACTATAAACTAACTCACGCGCAAGTCCATATTCCTACTCTCACCTCGTTGTGGAGAAACGGTGGACATAGTCGGGCACGGCGTTAGAGCTGTTGTATATGATGATGATGATGATGATGATGATGATGATGATGATGATGATGATGATGATGATGATGATGATGATGATGATGATGATGATGATGATGATGATGATGATGATGATGCCAGGGCCCTTTAGGCTTCGTCGAGCGGACTTGCAGACAAGTTGAAAGTCCGGGGTGAAAAAAGCGCATGCACCGATTCAACAGCAGCGGACAAATAAACGACTCCAGACGTTTTTAGCCCTGGCAACGGGTCTTTTGGTTTCATTACCTGACGCCTGATGGTTGCCTCCGGTCTGTGTGCAACTCCAACCCCAAGTGGTTCAAGAAGGCGGCCAACAGCTTCCGAAAAGCCCTTGACATATGGAAGTGCTCGCCAAACTTTGGTGTCCATGTGGGTAGGCCTTTCCTCCCTTTTGCGTATGCACCGGTTGACGAAGATGCGCGGGTAGTCATTGGCTTTGAAGACCCGTCGGAGGTATTGTAGTTCGGCAATCTGTTCTTCCGGTTCACTGCAGTTCGTTTCGACACGCCGATAGAGCGTCCTTACACAACTCCGTTTGTGGCTGACTGGGTGGTTGCTGTTGAAGTTCAGTACTTGCATCGTATTTGTCGCTTTCCTGAACACTTTGGCCTTTAATCAACCACAATCCTTGAGGCATACGAAGACCTCCAGGAAGGCCAGCTGGTTGTTCTCTTCCTCCTCCATCGTAAATTGTATGTCCGGGAAGACCGCATTCAGACGTTCCTTGAATGGCAGCAGTTGATCCCGGTCGATAACGACGAAGGTATCATCCACATACCGGGCACAGAACTTCGGTTTGTGGTGTTGGAAGACCAGCGACTCTAACCGTTGCAGGACCGCCTCGGCGATGAACCCCGAAATCGGCGAGGCCATTGGTGTTAAAATATATCTACAGCCCATTCGAGCATTAGGTCTACTGGAAGGAGCTTGACCGGTTCCTTTGAGTTTAGTAAGGTAGTCTAATACATTAGTAATTTGTGGAGCAGATAGTTGGAAATTCTAATTTTGTGCTACAAAATGAAGAAGTATAACGTCACGTTGGTATGAGAAAATGCTACATAATCTGCTGGTTCGATATTTCGATGCTTGTTTGCACACAAGCGGAAGTCGGTGAAGTTGTGGCCTGAAAATCTGAACTGAGCGCTTGTGAAATGATACCGGTCGTCCTTTTTGAGGTTTTCTCAGCTTGCAGTCAATGCCAGCTGTTAGTTGAGGCTGAATCTGCAGCATGAACCAGGAGCAGTGCATGGACCTTTTGGAAGGAAGGTTGCCTTGCCCAACCGATCTCAACCGACACCTGTTTAAGAGGTTTGGAGATCAGGACATATTTCCCAGGAACTAAAGGGCTCAGAAGATCTTGCCCTCAATAAGTACGAAGCAAATCGGTTCAGTTTTGATCAGTAGCGAGGAATCTCTTGTGGAATATTCGAGGGCGCTTTTGCAGGGTCCCTTGGAAACTCACCCAGCACACGGCTTACTGTCGGAGACACTGTAAAAGCTTCCACCCCAAAATGACCTAATCATTAGGCCCGCTGCGGGCGTGGGTCTCCACAAATAATTCTAAGGACAGGGTTCGCAACCTACTTGTGAATGAGTTTGCGCACAAAAACCTCAGGGCAGCTGAGCTGGGGCAGACTTTGAAGATTTTCGCTTTCAGGTGACCAAAATTGGGATTAGTAATATCAGCGAATGCATCGACTGTGAACCAGCCAGTGCTAACGGAAAATATTCGGAACCGGCCCTTGTCTTGGAACGTTATTGCCAAACAGTCGTGTATTTATTCCGCCCCTCGGAAAATACAATTTTACTCATCCTCACAGCTGATACCGGTTGTGTATGCGTATAGGTGTCTCCCGTACCAATAGTGGCCTTGCGGTTTATTCCAAGGGGTGCCCATTCCCGTGTCCTAACTTCAACCCTAAAACCAACCTCGATCCTAAAACAAACTCCCCTAACCCGAACAATAACCTCACTCTCCACCCCACTGGTATGTAACACAGGGCTACCTGTAATACGGGGGTACTTATAGTCGTGCTAAATTCTGTAGTAAAAACAAGTAATGACAAACTTCTAAATATCGACGTAAATCAGTGTATGAACTTGGAGTACGGCTCTTGAGACATGTCTTTTCGGACCATATAACGGTATGTAATCGGCGAAAAACGTGATCGGGCTTTTAGCTGGCATCTGTGCTGAATGTGTGTATGGTAAATCAACCTGACCAAACATGTGACTTCCGACTGTTGAGCTGAGCCCAGCTCACAAATATTTATCCAGACCGCTTATGATTTGTGTGGTTTTAGGCCGCCTCACTTTCCCTCCACTGTACCATTCAAAATTCTTACACACATCCTCCTTCCATACGTAAGTGATTGTTACTGTCTAGTCCTTCCTGGGCGCATGCCACTAAATCACCGTAAAGTGGGAGCAGAAAAATATTGCATTAGATTGAACATCCAGTCCGGCTGAATTTTTGTTGATTCATGCATTCTTCCGTCCGACCGTCGCGAATTATGACATTCATCGTGTGTCCCGCAGTATGCTGGACGTCGGACGGTGACTTGCGTGTGAATTAGTCTATAATGATAGTAGCTTTGAGCGACATCTGCTGTCTACCAGCCTCCCTCACCCGCCTGGGTCCCGTGTCAAGATAGAATCAAGAGGACCGAGGGTGAGATGGGGCGTGGTGACTGACAGAGCTGAACAGACCGTCTACACGTGCCACACGCAAGGCGAGCCGGATTTCTACGGAAACAGGCAATGTGCCGTAGAGGCCCCATCCAAAAGGAGCGAATACACCCCAGATCTACACCCTGAGAGGAAGAGGAAATTACCCTCTTGGTTTTCAGCCTTCAAAGCCACGGCTTTTAGTGTACCATGGTAGTATAAAAGTGCATCAAATTTTTGATGGTGAGGAATATGCGCTGAATGCTGTGAGGTCCCAGTTCCCTGAGTCGAACTCACTCTTTCACCTCTCCCAGGCACCAGTACACTGTCCGCGCTGGTCAGTCATCTGACGCCGGTGCTTCGGATTTATTATGGTCGAGAATACGCCGAAGTGCCGCAGAAATGGATTCCCCGGTGTTGGCCTCACAAGTTCTTCCCTCTGTCATACAACAATCAATTGTCCAAGTCATTTAACCGTCTAATGCTGAAATCAGGCGCAGCAAAAAACGCGCAGTCTAGTTTTAACTCCTCATTTCTCGCCTCCTATGATGTCTGAATCGCCACAGGCGACGTGATTCACCAGTGTATCCCCACGAGGTTCGTGCAGCCGTGACTTCCGCCCGCATTGGTGTATGGGGAGACGTACTTGCGTTGTGCCCACCTCGCTCTCTGTTTCCTCGACCACCGCCTTTCAGTTAGAAAACAAAAATCAAGAGGATTGGGGGGGGGAGGTGGGGGCGCGGTGGCTGACAAAGCCAAACTGCGCATCTACGTGCGCCACAGATGCCTGGCTCAGAGATTTACGTACGCTAGGTCTCATTCATGGGTTCCGGACCTCATTTAAGTGAAAATGGCACAAATGTTACATTAAGGGGGAGGAGGGGGAGGAGGAGGAGGAGGAGGAGGAGGAGGAGGGGCCACTGCGGCCTGACACTCGGTCCAAACCCCACAGTTAGCAACCCGTAAGGCAACAAAAAAACAGTCCATCGTGATAGATTCAAACACGTCAGGTCTGTTATAATGAAGAAGCCAACTATTACCCGCGCATCTTCGTCAACCGCTACATAGGCAAAAGGGAGGAAAGGCCTAACCGCACGGACACCAAATGTTGGCGAGCGCTTCCGTATTTCAAGAACGTTTCGGAAGCGGTCGACCGCCTTATCGCACCACTTAGGGGTTGGAGTTGCACACAGACCGGAGTCAACCATCAGGCATAGTTAATGAAATCGAAAAACCCGCTGCCACGGCAAGAAACGTCTGGAGTCGTTTATCGGATCTGGTGCAGTTGCGGACAAAGCAACTACATCGGAGAAACTGGAAGACAGCTCCGAACGAGAATGGCCGAACACGCGGCAGCGGTGCGCAGAAATGACGCCAGCTCTCAAGTTGCGGCTCATTCGACGAGATCCGGCCACACATTCAAATTCGACGAGGCCGAAATTCCCGCTAGAGGTGACAACCGTGTGAGCCGGGAGCTGCTTGAGTCGTTGTTTACTGGCCACCAATCTACTAACAAGTGCAATGATTCTCCCATTCAATACTCGGTGCTGAGACTTCGTCTAGGCGGAGTAATTGGCCACGCGGGAGCGCACAGGTGAACACTCTTTCCAACACCCGGGTCAGCGTGTCAGATGGTCGGGCAGTCATCACACCAACATT